CGCTTCTGTCAGTCTGCCCCAGGGTAGCTGTGGCTACGACTGTAGCTGCCTCCACCAGTGTATGAATGTGAGAGTGAATGAATAGTGGCATTGTAAAGCGCTTTGGGTGCCTTGAAAAGCGCTATATAAATCCAATCCATTATTATTATTATTATTATATAAATAAAATTGAATTGAATTGAATTGAACACGCACATGCACATAGTGTGACATTGTACAACTTTTTTCAGAATACTGTATAGCAACAGGTTTTCATCATGGTGCTGATCCAGAATCATTCCCTTACTGTTTATTCCTAGTCATATAGTGTGAGTACTGAGAATTTTTTAAAGTAATAAATATAAAATAATTTATTTATAATGATTCAGTTTGTTTCAAACAGGGAAGGGGTCCCATTTCACTGCAGGTAACATGTGCGTGTAACACCGCAAGTGACAATTAAAGGCATAATCAATCAATAATCATCAAAATCTTATTAAATGTTTAAACTGTAGAGATACAATAATTTGGGTGATGTAAAATCAGCATTTTGTTATATTTGAAATATAAATCTAACAATCTTTTTCTTAATGTATTTTCTTTAAAACACAATGCGTTTTTTTCTATCATGATTATAATAATCCACAATTATGTGGATATGCATATTAGATAGTGTTAAGTGAAATATAACCCCTCCAAAAGGCAGGCTGTAACTTACTTTAAAACTAAATAAACCGGTGGACTGAGCTACAGACTCATGACACCCTTACCCAGTTAGCTAACAGCTATGACCAGCACTACTGTTGCACACACAGTACGCTCATTTGTTTCAAAGTGGAATTATCACTCAGTTTGTATTTTCCCAGATTAAAGAAAACTTTAAAACTCTTTTTAAATCCTAAAAAATATATGTGTAAGAGTTTAGTTTGTCTTATGTTGATACACTGGAAACAAAGCAAGACACAAAGAACAGAAAGTCCCATCACATGAGTTTTATTTTGGTATTTATTTAAAAAACATATGTACAAAAATGTAAAAAAAGTTCAAGTCCAGACTATATAGACATACACACATATGGGAACAAAACTGGCAAAGTAACCAAAAAGAATATTGGCTGTCTTGTATTTGCTGTGAGTTCTTCTAGTTCAACAACCATGTGTCACGAGTGCAGCTTGTAGGTTGTGCAGTGTATTGTTTAAATCGCAGCAGTACTCTGACCAGCAGTCGTGATCTTTACAGCTCCATTCCTCCCTTGCCTGAAGAAACAAGTGAGATTATCAGTGACAAGCAACACAGACCTTTAGTTTGTCATCTTCACACAGAGTTGTGCGTGCGTGTCATTCTGACTTACTTTTTTTAGTAAGTTTTAGTAAGTACGATTTTTTAGAATGTGTCGTCCAAGTGGGGACTCTGGACTCACACACCTCTTCATATCTGCTTTTGTGGTAACACTGAAAGATTTTTTAAAAAGAGGTGTATTAGAAAGGATCTGGAGAACACAGCAGAATCATGCCTCAGATGATCTTGTGGACTCACATGATTTCTGTATGTGGACAGAAGATACTTGGGTAGTGTATCACTGGCTCAGCCTTGATGAGCTTTGGGCTGATCCTGCCAATGTAACTGTAACACTTGCATTTATTAGATTTGCTGGCTGGTTGTCCTGTGTAGGAAAAGACAAGAGCATTACCTGTTGATCAGCAGCCAAAATATCCATAAACAGGATGAAGGGGAAAAAAAGAAACGAAGAAGGAAAAAAATTTTTTTTTTCACAGTACCTTGTGCACCTAGGATAAGCAGGCAGGCAATGAAGGCAGTGACTGAGTTCATAGTTGTGGCTGTATGGCAGATCCGCTGTTCACCGTTTCTGTCTTGAGTATGGCTCCTGATGCTGTGAAGTAAGCAGCACGCTGCCTGCACAAGTGGTCCCACCCCCAAGAGGTGTTTTGCAACATTAATTTCACTTTCCAGAATGCTTTCACTTTCTTCTTCTTCTTCTTTTTCCCCTCTACAAAGCCCATTTCCCAGAATCATAGACTTCACCCATAGCTTTGGAACAACAAAAGAAAACAACAACAGGTGCCTCAGGGCACTGTTCTTTCTGATATTGTCCAAACAGAGGTCAATGAGGAAAATAAATTATAACTTGTTATACTGAAAATTGAATTGTTTGCACACAGCAAAAGAGGGCTTTTCCACATTTCTAAGTGCATGGTGGGATTCCAAGCATAAACTTGCACAAACCTGTTGAGCTCTCCCTGACTTTCTCACTTAGGTAACTTTAATGTTAAGGGAAAAGGTTTTATGATTGTATGTGTTTATGTTGTACTTTTTAATACAATTGTTATTTTAAAAGACTGAAGGCAGACACTAAAAAGGTTACAAACAGATTGCAAGCAACACAGGCCAGATGGATGGTAACAGTATATAGTTTGACTGAGTTAGTGACTGGGTGAGGAAGGTAATCGTGGTAGGACAGCTCAGATCAATTCAATTTTATTTTATTTAAGTAGTACCAAATCAAAATTATTCAAGGTGCTTTCTATTATAAAGAAAGCACAATAATATAATTTATTATTGTATATACAATAATAAATTATATTATTAAATAATAATAAATATGAGAATATAATAAAGAAAGCAGAGAAAACCCGAACAATCATGACTCCCTTTCCGCAAGCCCTTTAAAATGAGTCCAGTTATGAGCAACTGAAATGACAATTGTTTTTAAGAGAGAGAATCTTTGAGTATAAATGAGCTGTGCATTTAATTGCTGATGGACAACATGCATGTTCCATAAAGCATGTGTAACTGACATACAAAGTCTAATCATGACTTATAGTGGGTAGTCAAGAATAGACATTGTTTCATAAATGGCCACCATTAAAGGAAAGGGTATTTTAATGTATTAAATAGCTGTTAAAATGTTTCTTTAATTTTGTTAAAATCAACTTATTACTCCATGCTAACAGTATATGCACTTTTCTTCATTCATTCAAATATTGTATAATGTTTCCACTTGTACACTGTATACAAACCCACACAGTCTCTAGTTAGCTAGGAAACTACAAGAATGCTAAGTCACAACTTTACATTCACATAGATTACATCCCAGAGCAATTGCTTTTGTATTGTCAGTATGTGTCCCCATTTCAAATTAACACCAGTGATTTCTGTGGAAAAGTGATGTGAAACTCAAACAGACTGACGAAAACACCGTGCCAAATGTTTCAGTTAAACTCTGAATGAACTCGATGAAAGTAGGGCCTTGTGTTTTGGAAAAAATCAAGTTGGATCCACACATCCGAGTGCATCCAAAAAATAAATAAATAAATAAATAAATAAAAATTTCATGTAAATCGAGAAATGAGAAGAAAATTTGCAGATTATGAAGAATTTGTAGCATGCTATTTATTTCAAAAGTAGGATGTCATGCCATATAGAAGGCACTATGGCAGAACTAAATGAACATGTCATAAATCCAGTTGAGCTTTCACAACTTCAAATCATTGCAAGTCTAGGTTTCTACGCAAGCAGTGTGACTAAACTAGTAAGAGTTTCACACATGGAGGTCTAAAGCCATTACTAGTGTAGTATTGTAATGTAATGTGTATTGTATTGTAATGTGTATGTGTTTGTCCCCATAGGGAAATAGTTCCTCTGCATTTAACCCATTCACCCAGTGAAGCGGTGGGCAGCCACCAATGCAGCGCCCGGGGAGCAGTGTGTAGGGACGGTACCTAGCTCTGGGGTACCTAAGGGTAGCCGTTCAGTGGAGTCGAACCCCCGACCTTCCGATCATGGGGCCACCACTCTACCTACTGAGCTATCCCTTTAATTGGTATAAAATAAATAAGGTATATATTTTTAACGAATGCCTAGAAAAAAAGTCCTAATTACTACTGAATTTTGTATGTACAAAGACCATTGGACCTCAGTATTTACACTCTTTCTAACACAGATATATGAAGGATGAAGGGACTATGCAGTTGAAACTCCACGTGTGCACCTGTGGACAGCCTGACCATCTGTTGAAGGTAACGGACTAACATGGCTAATGCTAGCATCTCTTTTAAGATCATCTTGGCTTAGAAAAATAGCCAGCAGTACTAGCTAGTTAAAATCCAGAGAGAGAGAGCAATGACCACCGATCAAGATCAACCAGTTTCTTTTCTGGCAGCTGTTGTAATAACAAAGTTTGCATTCTTTGAAAACTGCTGGGTCATGTATGATTTGTCTGAGAACATGTGTCATCTCATGAGCCAGCATTTAATATCCAAGACTAATAGGAGGTTGTATTGTATTCTCACCTAAGCTGCGAGGAAGAATATTCAAACTGCAGTGGATTAATGAAAAAGCACCAACTGTTAAAGGCTGGCAAAGAGGAGCATTGGAGTATATTACACTCAAAAACAGACCAATTCTTTAAGGTCTGTGAACCATACGTGAATCATGTATAACCCGATGTCTCTAATATTTTACTACAAGGATTTCCTTGAGTGTTCGAACTGCATACTATTGGAACCACAGGTATTGTATTGTTAAGATGGATCTGAGCTGGTGTTGTGTGTTTGGTTTTCGGTTTGTTTGTTCCTTTTTTTTGTTTTTCATTGCTGTGAATTTTACACCATATCCATCCATCCATCCATCCATTCGCTTCCGCTTATCCTTTTCAGGGTCGCGGGGGGCGCTGGAGCCTATCCCAGCTGTCATAGGGCGAGAGGCAGGGTACACCCTGGACAGGTTGCCAGTCTGTCGCAGGGCCAACACACAGGGACAGACAACCATTCGCACTCACATTCATTCATACCTAGTGACAATTTGGATTATCCAATTAACCTATCCCCACAAGCTGCATGTCTTTGGAGGGTGGGAGGAAGCCGGAGTACCCGGAGGGAACCCACGCAAACACGGGGAGAACATGCAAACTCCACACAGAAAGACCCCAGCCTGGTGTTGGAATTGAACTCAGGACCTTCTTGCTGTGCGGCAACAGTGCTATCCACCGTGCCACCGTGCTATATATTATGTAATTATGGGTTGTTTGTGAAAATAAATGACTAAAAATATTGTTAAAAAAAGAGAGTTGGAGATGGGGAGGAGGTGGGTTACACAAAGGGGTCTGCAAAGGGGAATGACAGATGCGCAGTGAGATTTAAAGTATGCAGTGTAGGGTAATTTCCAATAAACCAAGTTCAAAAAGGGCGATCGTGGTTCAAGAATTGGCAGTTTGTCTTGTAATCGGAAGGTTGCTGGACAGTCTCGCTCATTGTGTCCTTGGGCCAGACACTTCACCTACCGCCTACTGGTGATGGCTAGAAGGGCCAATGGCGCGATATGGCAGCCTCGCTTCTGTCAGTCTGCCCCAGGACAGCTGTGGGTACCACTGTAGCTTACCTCCACCAGTGTGAATGTGAGAGTGAATGAATAGAGATTGAAAATGTGACATCATTCAGGGGTAAAACCGCAAAGGATTCTGGGAACTCGTGGCAAGAGGTACTAGCGCACGCAGGCTTTCAATTGAAATTACATTACACAGCGATAAAAAGAAAAAAAATGGCAAGAAGCTGTTGTATTATTAACTGCAATAGCCGGTCGCATGACAGCCACGGGAAGCTGACGGGTAAAGAGATCGGTTGTTATCGGATTACGTCGTTGAAGAGAAATTGTTCAAGCCATGTTTCCGAAGTAACAAAGAGGCGACCTGGATTGCAGCCATTCGAAGACCAAATATAACATCCCAGAACACTCCAGCTCATATGTTAGTCTGCTCCAAATCATTTCCACAAAGGTGTTTTGTAGTAGTTAATACATCATTTTTCTTAACATAATTGGTGATATAGGTTACAAGCAAGTCTGGAGCTGAACAGAAATTGTCACGCTATGCTCCTTTGTTTATTGTGCATAAATAGTGAATTGTCCTGACACAATATTGCGTTTCACTTCTGTTATTATGGTACATTGACAAAAACATACTTTTATTCACAGGATAAAACAGGGTTTTTTTGTATCACTAATTGCCCAGTACGATTACAGCATACAATATTATTGTCACTGCTACATTTCTGTAATGCGAACCAGAAATTATTTCCACTACTAATTAATTGCCGTTGAGCTTAAAGGTCCTATTAATAAACGGTTAACGAATGTGTATTTATGAAGACGATTTGTGAGACTGGTAAACTTGTGATATGTACAATGGTCTTTCGTTCTACATGGTGCATTTCAAGGTCCTGTACCCATCCGTCGGCTTGTTGCAGTGACCTGAAGTTACTAAACTTCATGAGTGTATGCACTCACTCCAAGAACCGTATAATTATAAATATGAGCGTGGTGAAAGTTGGGCAGCACGCTAACGTATTTTGTCCACTCTGTGTGCTCGTAAGGGTCAAACCCTTTCACTCCTTTGATTTTTTTCCATTATGATTGCCCATTCCACAGAACAGAGTTCACAATTCTGTCTGATATTGGGCCACCATTGTGTTGCTTTGAACTTACTTGTTTGGGATGAAAAAATTGTTATGTTTTTTTGTTAAATAAATAATTTTCATCAATAAACTTTCCTTGTTTAAACATGTGCCATGGTGTGGTCTTTCTTTGCTTGTAGCTTCTTGGTGTTGTTAAATACAATAGATAAAAAATACATATAATATACATATAATAATGTACAACACATTATGGAGTATACTTCTGCTGTGAGGTCCTGCCTCCTTGTACTTATGCAATTAACTGGATAATCAGTGGACAGGTATGTTTATAAATTATATTATATTAGGCCAATTTTCTTATACATATTTTTGACCAGGGGGTAGAATTGATTGTGAACTGGAAAGGAAAAATGCTCACCACAAAACACTCCACAAATCCCGCAAATGATGGACTTCTTTA